TGGCATGAGACTGTCTTTGTATTATGAGTTCCTATAAATGGCAGACCTAACTTAGTATATAGGCAACTGAAAACTGATCTGGGAGTCTATTTTTGTAACAAATGGCTCGATTTCAGCCAATCACAGGCAGCTAACTGAACAGACCATACCCAAATAAAGCAAATGCCTAGCTGTAACCAATCAAGTTATTTGTGGACTTTACTTCCTTGAAAGCTCACTGCCCATGCTGCGGGGTGGAGCTTTCTGAATCTCTTTTGGTTTTGAGTGCGACACAATTCATGAATCACTTTTTGCTCAAATAAATTCTATTTCGTCTGTCCAGAATTTTTCTTTTAACACTAGGTACTTCCAGTTTGTCATTTAGGTCAACAAATTCTCTCTTTGGAAATTCAGTAGTCTTAAGGTTGTTTATACCTGACTGTGAATTACTGTTAAATTGATTTCATCCTGACACTTAGCTGAGACAGATTGGTCTTTGTGAATAGAATTTTTCTGTTGGAGGTTCAGCAGCAGGAGGGTCACATTGGAGCATGTCATATTTCTGAAAGAAGGGAAGACCTGGTCCATGGATAGATATGAGGGGATCGGAGCCATTAGAGGGCAGCATGCAGGACTTGGGGAGGAGGGTCAAGAGCTGGTAGAGAGGTTCCAGAGACAAACTTAGACCAAATGCAATTATATTCCTGCTGATTTTAAGCAAGGAAGCATCTCAAATCACACTACACTATCAGTTTGGCCCTAGTCTGAAGGAGTCCACGAATTCCCATCTGTGGAGGTCTTGGGTCTCCATATTCTCATAATATGCTTTGGTATAAAAGCTGGGATAATTATATGGTATATGGAATGTGTTACAATCTCAGGCTTTGCAGTTAGACAGACTGGGTTTAAATTGTAGCTGTGTTCCTGGAATTTCCGCCCTGCTACTTCACAGTGCTCAGGAGAAGATGAAATGGGTTAATGCATGTGGTGCATTATAAGTGCTCAGTAAGTGTTAGCTATTATTACTTACAGTAATCTTACTCATTAGTTGCATGTGTCCCTGCACTGTTTCTTAATCTTTTGTCCTTCAGTTTCCTCATCAGCAAAATTATGATGATAAAGCCTAATTTTGGGTTCCTGGAGTAGGAGGAGTAGATGAGACAGCACAGGTCCTGCATTGACTGTGCTAAATGGAGTAAGTTATTATTGGCTGCTGCTATTTCCTGGTTGAAGGTGAATGTGAGCAAATATAAGCAGAGGAGGCCTCTTTCTTCAGGAATGAGTAAGACAAGTCATAGGTCCTTAGAACGGATGGATAGATTAGCATCCAAGGTTTAGGGGAACTCAAATGCTCTGCCCATTCCTACATCCCTTCCATGGCAAATTCCCTTTATGTGTATTTCTCTTCTGGGTCAGATGCAGAGAATGAGAACACACCATATCTCAGCCTCCAGGGAGTGCTCACTGGATTAACTAGCTGACATGTAGGAGAATGGAGAAACAAGGGGAAGGCAGAGAGTTGAAAATTAGAAAGCACCTAAGTGTTGCTTTCTAGAACAACTATCCCTACTTGGCACATATCCTGCAATGCTAAGTCTTGTCAAATACCTGGCAAATTGTGCCCATTCTTCAACAAGTAAGGTAGGCTTTACCTTCAGGCTAACGTGATTGGTCTCATTGGTCTCCAGAGGAAAGATATTTTCGGGAGGAATGTGGGACCATTTTTTCTGACGAAGTTCATAATCTTTTTTATATTTTCTGTGAAAGGAATAAAGCCGGTCAATAGGTTTTTCTTAGTATCCACGCCATTCAGCTTCTGAAGACTGGGAGAAGTTTAGAACCCTGGTATGCTCAGGTAGATGTGCATGGGGAAAGGTAGCCCAATGACAGAACACCATGTTCTCCAAACTGAAAAGTGCTCACTGCCAGTGGACCTGCAAGGGTTTCTGATGGGCTTTTACAGCAGTGGCCCTCAACCTTTTTGACACCAGAGACTGGTTTCCTGGAAGACAGTGTTTCCATGGAGGTGGCAGGGGGTGGTTTCAGGATGAGACTGTTCCACCTCAGATCAGGCATTAGATTCTCATAAGGAGCATGCAACCTAGATCCCCCGCATGCACAGTTCACGATAGGGTTCACGCTCCTATGAGAATCTAATGCCCTGACTGATCTGACAGGAAGGGTTGCTCAGGACGTAATGCTCGCTCACCCGCTGCTCACCTCCTGCTGTGCGGTCGGTTCCTAACAGGCCATGGACTGGCGATTGGGGACCCCTGTTTCCTAGTCTTTCTTTTCTTTTCGCTTCACTTTCCCAGGTTTTTCACTAAGGCAGTCGTTCACGATAGTAAAGGATTTAAACTGATGACATAGAAGGAGTTAGGAAAAAATAAAGGAAACAAATGTAAAGTTGGTAATGCTGACAGGCAAAAATGTTAATTTTTAAACCACCAGAGAATACACCAGATCCCTAAATAAGCCAGTTCCTCTTACCCATCTGTGCCTTTTCAAAAAATATGTTTAAAGAAAATGGAAAAGTACAGAGAAAATGTAACAACACCTA